GCAGTGGCCCATACCTAATCGAACCTCAGCTAGAGAACAAGATGACATCATTCAGAATTCCAAATTTTTCAACTTTATGACTGTTTTACATTCTGGACATCAACTAATGTGGAGACAGTGTCTTTTAATACTTCTTCAAAGCCTGTAAAGCCATGTAACAATTTGCTGTTTTTAAAAGCAGGCTCACAAACTTGGCAACAGATCTAAACTTAGTAGGAAATAATAGTAATCTTACTTATTCGTGCTATCCAGAACAGTGGACTTTATCTCTGAAAGACTCTGCTGTCAAACAAATAGAATTTTACCTTTATAGAAATATATTCCAAAATAGAGAAAGGCATTAAAAATCATTATGAAAGATATGAATATTTAGGGCAGGTAAGATCAGCTGAGATTTCCATGATCCTGCACAGATGAGCTAATCCAAAGAACTCACATTATATTGCTCTTTCAGGCTGCCTGCAGACTAGGAACACAGAGACATTTTTATACATCATTTTCATGTGTGTATGCAGGGAGCAGGCAAGGTTGAATGAAACCTTTCTTTCTTAAAAAAGCTGGCATTTCTAAAATCATTTCCGCAACAGTGATTCTACAGAATTACAGAGTACGCATTAACCTTGTCATAAATTATTTTTCAAAGAGATTACAGCAAAGCATACCACAACCCTCCAGAGACTTTAGAGTACTTATGGTCCTTAAAGAAGTATCCTGAGTATTACTATTGTATTTTTAATAATGTGCCTAGCATCTACAGCTGTCACTGATAGCTTTCTGATTTTGACATTGATAAAAAGCATACAACAGAATGTAAACTTACATCATGTAGTACAAATAGAATTTTACATCTTAATTCTTGATATATATTGTTATTAGTGCTATTACAACATGACATAGCTTTTTTTTTTTTAAATCCTACTTCAAAATCTCACAGATAGGTTCTGCAACACTCTTGAACAGCATTTTTTTTCCTATCCCATTTTAATTTATTTTGTATACAGCTTCTAATTCACTGTAATGTCTTTAAAATAAAAGAATGAAAAAAAAAAAAGTCAGGCATTTTCTCAAATACAACCTTTGTCACCAATTAAAAACTACTCCAAGTCAGATTTCTGAAGCCTCCTAAGGATTTATACTGTGACAGATGTAGGTTAGAAAAAAAAATCCTTCAGGATTATGAAGACCAACTGAATTATGAAGACCAACTCAAGACCTGTCTAAATCTGCAAAGACCTTTCCACTAGCAAATGCTTTCTATCTTACCTGGGCATCCTGGATTGGTGCGCAGTGCTTTTTTGTAATAGGCAAGGGCTCCTCTATAATCTTTCTTGTTAAAAGAAATGCATGCTTTACCTGGTATAACATACAAATTATAACAAATATTAAAAAATGGTTATAAATTAGAAAGTGATGGGCATTACTCTGTGGATTTGTGCCCTACTGATTTTCAGAAGTTACTATTAAAATAAAGTTGAAAATTCAGACAGTTACACATATCTTGTTATCTTTGACTAAGCCAAGCATATCAAAAAAACAAAATAAAATAAAAAAATAAAAAAATAAATCAAACGCAGGAACACATTAAATTTACATTTTCCCAGTTTTCCAAATAGAATTCTTTCTATCTTGGCCACAGGCAAGACATTTGTTAAGACAAGCTTTATTAGTAAGCACAAAGAAACGGTGCTGTTCAGACTTCTGACCCTTCACTATTGAAATTCCTCACCTTAGAGTGTCTAGCTTCACTCATATCATCAGGAAAAGGAAAGCAGGCTGAATTCAGTTTGCAGATGTCAGAACATGTTGGCTAGGCCTCTACTTGCTCCTGTGTTGCCCTAACTTTCTCCCTACACATGCACATAGTTCCTGAATCTAAAGAAGCACCCAAGCAATGTTATACATTTCTGACCCAAAACAGATACACCTTTTTTGCCTTGTTCACCTCTCTATTTATATATGCACCCCTTCTTAAACATAATTTTATTTCCAGATTCAATTAGATATATATTTTTTAAAAACACAAATACCCATAATTCATACCAAGAAGGGCTGGAATATTATTTGGAGATTGGTTCAGCACAAAATGGAACTGTGCATCAGCTTGGTCCATCTTATCACCTTCTAGCAGACAGAAACAGGCTCTTCCCAACAAGTGATTCTAGAAGAAGGGGAAAGAAAAGTATTTCTGCTATATTAATCTTTGTAAAATATGATGCTTAGATCACAGGAAAGATTAACTGGCTACGCAAGAATGCTTTCTCTGATAAATATACTTCTCTTGCAGCAGGAACTGAAAATAAGAAGTGATTTCCAAAATTTACATGCTATCTAGCAAGAGTAACAAACCTCCCCACTCCAGCTCCCCAGTAACTATAAAATGACAACAACACATTCATATCAGGCGGTCCCAGCTAGACATAATTATATTTCTCTGGTGGCAATGCACACATTTCAGGCACTCACAAGATTTACTTGCATATCCTACATGGCCAGACTTTGAAGCCTGAGCAATTTCTATCTCCCCACTAGTGATAAAATATTTTTTTTCTTTAGAAAAAAAATGTTGAAAACAACATCTTGGTCTGGCTGAAACCAAAGTATGTTGAAATTAAAGTTTTTTTTTTTTAAAAAAAAAGGTAAATAATCTACAAGTATGAATATTATATATGAATAGAGGCATACATATTTTGTTTTTACCTGATCATACATGATAATTTTGTCAGCCATAGTATACAACAAGGTAGCTTGTGTAATAAGCTCCTTTTTGTTGTCTTTGTTCTTTTCCTTCCGAGCCTGCTGTACATAATATGCTGCCAGAGTATCCAGACATGTCATCTGATCTTTTTCATGGTCTCTGTAGTCCAAGTTGCCATCTATGCGTGCAGCTTCCAAGAGCTTCACAAAATCTTCTGTTTTCCCTTGTTTGTAGTATTCCAGCTGTAAAACACACAGTTTTCATAGACATATTGCATGAAATACCTAACATACCAAGTTGATAGTTGAAGTGTAAAACAGTTTCTCCTTCCAAAAAGGAAATGAATGAAGGGATGAAGGGATTCTGATACAAGCTCTAATATAAATAATTTTCTATCATTATCCTGTCTTATTATTTCTACGTATAATCTGCTACTCTTACTCAAAAAAACAGTAGCCTCTGATTATTCAGCCAATGCTAAATGATACCAAAGAAGTTACCTACTAAAGCAACAACTCTGAACTCATGCAATGATTTGGTGTCATACTAGTAATGTAACTGATCAGCAATCTTATGGATGACTACAATCCCATAAATTTATGGTAGAGAAAGAGTAGTCTACCTACATGGTTAATTACACCTATGTGACTATACCTCTGTGTATGTCAGAATACAGAGTCCAACTTCATGTTAATTACAGTACCAAAAAAAAAAAATCAATCCATACAAGGAAAAAAAAGATATTAAATTTAAAATTAACAACAGTAAGTATCAGTGTGGAAGAATTGTTTGAAAGCGGGAACTGAGAGGAAAACTAGGGCCTAATCGAAGTTCTGGCAGTACACAAGCTTGCTTGGGGTGATACACAGTTGCCACTTCCAGGGCAGTTGGTAGGCGCTGACTCAGCTCCTCCACGGTTCCCTGGGCAACACAATCTGCCCACCTCACAGCTGCAAAGGGGAGGCTGGAGCAAAGTGAAGACAGCGCGGCCAAACTCTGTTGCAGTCCCTGTGCTGGGCCACTGACAAGCCGCACAGTGGCTGTCTAACGGGAGATATACGATAACGTGTCCAGTGCTGAGCCAGCAAAGATGGCAAATCACTCCTTTTGGATGAACTTTGCTTGAACTTTGCTCATTATAATTGTCAAAACACATCTCCATCCCAAAAGTTACCCGCCTCCGAGGTACAACCACTCCTCCCTGAGCATGCGCTCTAGATTTTCGATTGTCTGTACCTTTAAATGAAAGCAAGAAACTTTTTCACCAATCAATAACAATATTAAGTATGACTCTAGTCACTCAGGCTCCACCTGAATGTAAAGAAAAGTATAAAAGGTGAACTAAGGATGAAAAGGAGGAGGGAAGAATCCACTGTAACTCTTGGGTCAGTCAACGGGCTGAGCCCCCTTCCCTCCCTTCAGGTTTGGATGCTGCCTGAGGAGACTAAGAAGTGAGAGGGAAAAATCCATCGTAAATTTTGGATCAGGCGATGCACTGATCCCCCTTTCCTCCCCCTCGGGTTGGGACGTCGCCTGAGGAGACTCGAGACTGAGAGCCCTCTCCCATCTTCCGGGGTGAGGGATGATTGCACATTTGTACATCAGAGCTAGCTAAAAACCCCACACTGTAGTAGAGAACTTCCTGTACTGACATCCGAAACCTGCTTTGTAAATGTTGCATTTGAATAAATCATGGTGTTTGTGAACTCGATTACATGTTTGGGGGGAGGTGATCGAACCTACGGTTGACGGACAGTTCATGAATCCAGTACTGCCAGAGTCGAGCTTATAGTTGATCACACTATTTGGGCACTCAATTCGCCCCTAGGAAGGCGATCGGACCTACAACCCACAGACTGTGAATCTGATACTGATTTGATATCTCCTTCTCTTTCTCCCCTCCCCCCACTATGGCTTTCAAGCTGCAATATTTCACAATCAGTCAGCAATACTATATATTCAGAACCAAAACGCACCTAGCACTCTAGGCTAAGCTATCAATGAAAAAAATATCTACCAAAAAGAAAAGATCTCTCTGCTGAAAAGCAACATAATGTCTTAAGCTACTTACAAGATCAGTAAAAAGAGAACGCTAATACTACATAATCACAAATAACAATTTGGTAAGTCCAAATTTAATAAACCAGCTGTATTTGAAAAATTTCTTAAAAAAAAAAAAAAAAAAAAAAAAAAAATAAGGTACTCTGAATGTTACACAGGACAAGAAATATCTGACTCAGAATCAGGGACCTAACAGCCTAACTAAGTTCCAGCTCAGAATTCAGTTATTTCTGATCACAAAAGCTAGATAGGATAAATGATAATTTTAATATATTGAATATATACTAACCGCCAAGGCAATCCATATGTGCAGTTGCGTGTGTTCCTGTTTCAGTATACTTATAACTTCATCCCCCTCAGGTAACTGATCGAAGTCAAGCTCAATCACCTAAAACCAAACAAAACAGATTTCTTTTTGTGTTATTTGCCATGGAGCTCAAAGCACGCTGGATATCTCAGAGCACAAAACATGCATAATCCTTTGAGTTTAAACAAGGTTATTGACAATGAAAGAAGAGAAGTTTTAAATTATTTTGCACAAAACAGTCCCTCTCAAGTATCATAACAAACACAATGCAATGTTTAGAATACCAGTCGGGGCAGAAAACACATGAATGTTATTTTAACTTTCATTAAAGATTTTTGCCTCAAAATGTGTGCAGTTCTACTAACAATCAATTAGCCAACTTAACCAGACACGAGTTGCTTCAAGAGCTACTGAGTCTCTATAAGACATTTCCTACAGGTAACACAGAGATCTAAGATACGATTAGACTCTTCAAGCAATTAGGTATCAGGGGATCAATATCGAAGACTGATCTCAGAGCCTTCAGATTATTTGTTAAATCATCTTTGTGCCCAAGAGAATTAGCAGGTTATTTAAGTGACAAACACTCTAGAGAGTGAACTAAATTTCCAAATGTTAGTCATCACAGTCATCATGAGCAAATGGTGTCAACAACTTTCACCATGCAATCATCATTTTGCAAGTACGACACTCATCAATCTACTCTTCTGATATACAGAATGTGGGAAAAAAAAAAAAAGAACAGATACTACCAACCAGCCGAGTTGGTAGGGGACACAACTGCCTGTTTGTTCACTTGCTACTCAATGCTGCTACTTTTGTTATTAGCTACCTATATTATTAGTAGTCAATTTTAAAGTGAGTAAGGGGTACACCGGCGTCTGGCCAAGTCCCCCAGTTATCAATAGAGATACTTCGAAGATTGGACTAGAGCAATCCAGTTTATAAGGAACTAGTGACTGATTATGATACCTATCACAGCACGCTAGGGGAAATATTTCGGTCAATATTGTTATTCTTAGATTGAACATCTTGGACAGTACATCCTCTCTGACAGATAATGGTGTTATATCTAGCAAACCTCAATCTACAAACCAAAACAGTTATTCGTGAAAAATAAACTCTGTCAACACGAATAAATGTGAAAGTTTTAAAAGACAGAAGAAATAAATTGTGTATTTTATTTTCACAGCAATTTTTAGGGATACATCCAGAACTTCACAATCCAAATGCTGCTACCTATAACTTGAAGAACACTAACAATTTTATTTACTTGTGATAAAATCTAAGAAATGTTCCTGTCACAGAAAAAAGTCCTCCCACATGTAACTAACCGACAGCATAACATACTAGTACCTTTTAACATTTAAAACATGTAACAGCAGCTGTACCAAAACTTCTTGGTGAAGTAGCTAACACAGATGATCACAAAAGATCTCCAGGCCACAGACAAGCACCATGTTTCAACACTTTACTTACTGACTCAAAACGTGTACTATCTGTTGTGTGGTGATCTAACTTCGAACTTTACTGGGTGAATTGCCAACTGTCTCTCTTAGCAGGGTTTAATTCTAGCTTGTGCCAGTTACTTCAAGCTAGTAAGAAATGTCACACTGCTAAAACCTCACCGAAAACAACTTTTTTGCGCCCACCAACGGGGAGACGGAGGGACACACGGCTTGAGAGAGCCAGCGTCGGCAGAAAAACGAAGGGGGTGGGCAGGTACCGCGGGGCGCCGGCAGCAGCCGCGCTGCGTTCCTTTCCCCAGCAGCGAGACGCCGCTGAGCGCGGCACCGCCGAAGGAGAGACATCACCGACATCCCCCTCAAGTGAGGGGCGGCGACAAACGGCTGCACGGCTTCGCGCCCACCCCACCAGGCCGCGCCACCGCTTCGGGCCCCCACTCGCCTCGTCGGTGTCCCGGAGCGGGATCTCGATAGAGCCCCGCGACATGATGGCGGCAGCACT